TGGGTAGAAGAAATTCATTACTATGTTTTGTTTGCCAAAAATTATTCATAAATTGCACGTGCAAATAGGGAGAATTTAACTGTATGTAAATTATAGCCCAATAAATATGACTTAAAATGTAATATGGTTATTAAGTCACAAAAATATTAGAAGAAAACTTGGAAGAATTGTTTCATGACTTCTGAGTGAAAATACCTTTTTAATAATCATATAAAACTTAAGAGTTCTAAGAGAAGACACTGGTATACTTTACTACCTAAAAAAAATGCAAGGGAAAAATATTGTTTAAAGGTCAAAAGACAAATAACACATGTGAAAAAAATATATATATATTTGAGATGGAGTCTCGCTCTGTCGCCCAGGCTGGAGTGCAGTGGTGCTGTCTCGGCTCACTGCAAGCTCGGCCTCCCAGGTTCACGCCATTCTCCCGCCTCAGCCTCCCGAGTAAATGGGACTACAGGTGCCCGCCACCTCGCCCGGCTAATTTTGTTTTTGAATTTTTAGTAGAGATGGGGTTTGACCGTGTTAGCCAGGATGGTCTCGATCTCCTGACCTCATAATCCGCCTGCCTCGACCTCCCAAAGTGCTGGGATTACAGGCGTGAGCCACTGAGCCCAGCCGAAAAGAAATTTTTAACTCCTATCACAGAAAAAAATGTTATTCTTCCTAACACAGAACAAAGTCTACAAATTGTTTTAAAAGCAGTCCAATAGAAACGTTGATAAATAATATACACAGATATTTCACAAAAATATGAATTAAAATTATACAATTGAAAAGATAACCTCGGGAAAAATAAAGAGAATGGAAATTAAAACTTCATTCTGATTGAAATTTTCACTTACAGAAATTGACAAAAAATGCAAAATACAGCCTGTGAGTAAGGTTCTGAAGAACTATGAATGCACACATTTCATGTAGGAGAGACAACTAGTACAACGCTATGGAGAGTAATTTTTAATATGTCAGAATTACAAATCAATCCTAATATACATGTGACTAGCCAATCTAACTTACCTTCTAGGAATTTTTAAAACAAATATACATTTGTGAGATGAAGTATATATAAGGCATTGAGACAATGTTTGTAATGACAGCAACTAATATTTATTTAGTAATTATCATATAATATAGTCCCATGTTAAGTATGACAGCTTTAACTCATTAAGTTCTTGTAACTTCTCTATTGGGTAGGTGCTATTATTGCATTTTACAAATGAGGAAACAGAAAAGTTAATTAACTTGTCCTAGACTTACTTAGTAAATGATTGGTTGGAATTAACAACCAGGTGCTCCAGCTCCCAGGTCCCTTATCTTAACACCTACACTTCATTACACAGCAATTGAAAACCACATACATTTCCATCAGTAAAAGGCTAGTTAATATAGTACATACATACAGTGAAATAGTATACGACTGTAAGAAAGGATGAGGAACACTTTATGTACAAGTATAGAAAGACATTTAAAATATACCTGACAGTGAAAAATGAAAGCGCATAACCATTGGACATATTATGTTACTATCTGCAGAAAAGGAAACAGAGAGAAGACTGTATCTGCATTTTTTAACATGCATTAAAATATTCCTCAAGGGAATATAATAAACTTATAACAATTGTTACCTTTAGGGAGGAGGTGGAGGGAAGTTGTATAAACAGGCAGGCTTCTGCTGCCTGGGTTATACGGCAGGAAACTTTTCATTATATACCTTTGCATGTTTTTTAGATTGAGTTAAATAATGTAAATGGTGTGACTATTGTACAACTGAATAAAAGAAATATAAAAAATTAAGATCTATGTATCAAAAGACATTATGAAATTGAATGAAAATTACAACAGAAGATGCATCTCTTATAATCAACAATGGATTACTTTCCAGAATAAAGACATAATTTTTTTTAATTCTAGGAGGAAAAGATCAAATAACATGATAGAAATATGACGAGGCATTTCATAGAAGAAACAAAGTAATGAAACATTGGAAAAGTGCCTCAGTTTTCCTGGCAATTAGGGAAATGCGACTAAAACTAAAATGGCATGCCCTTCTGGTTGCATACATTTAAAAAGAAACTAAAATAGCAGTCAAAAATGTCAGCGAGAATGTAGAGAAACAGGGAATAACACACCCTGTTAGTAGGAATCTAAATCGATACTTAGAAGAGAGATTCCCAAATATCTAGTAAGGTTGAAGATGCACTTCCCATGTTGCATATATACCTAGGAATACTCTTACAAACTAAACAAGGAAACATCCAAGAATGGACAGAGTAGGATTGTTTACAACCACAAAAAAATCTAAATGTCCATCAATAGGGGTGAGAATAAACTGATATATACATATCCAATAGAAGATTATATGATTGTGAAAATAACTGATAGCTACAAGTATCGACCTCATAAATGTCACCCATATAATATTCAGCAAAAAAGTTAATTGCAGCAGGATACAAGGAGTATATGATATCTACAAATATTCAGTTGTAGATATATACATATATGTAGATATCTAAAGAGATGTATGGGCCCGATAAACTTCTAGTTCAGGTTTGTGACCATCTCTGATGTGAAAGGAAAAGAACGGAATTAGGGTAGGGTGTCTGGGAGCTACAACTCTATTAGTAATATTTTTTTAAGTTCGGAAAAACGGACATGGTTTTTTATATTACCCTTTATATAGTTTTGCGTGTCTGAAACAATGTAAAAATAAGATAAAAAATAAAAAATAATTTGTGTTATCCTTCAGAGGGATTGTTGCTTCAAGATGTAAGTTAATTTAATAATCATACCTGCAGTAGGGGTGAACAGTGAGAGTTAAATTCACTAATAAAAAAATCTTAAAGTGAAACTCAGTACATTCTAAATATACAAAGTATACTAGCATTATAAATGCTCAATAAATATTGTCATTTTTATCATTATTAATGTATTCAGAATATTATTACCAAAATAGGGTAAATATAAATAAAAAGTCTGATTTTAGCAAATGGATTGCTCTAAGAGCTGAGGATAAAGCAGTTCTGTGTCTTTTAGGAAACTTTAGTTCTTTAAATGTTTCCAAGTAAGCATGTGATTAAGAAAATAGTAAGGTGCTACAGCAACTATTTGTATTTGTTCTGGCTGGTAATCCAAAACCCTTTGCTCTGTGGAGAGAATTGGTCCCCTGTGATGTGAATCTTGGCTGAGTCTTGTCTCCTTGAAAGCCAAAAATCATCAGAAACTTTCTCTTTCTTCACCTTGGCACTTGTAATGGACACATGATCCAAGTTCAGTCCATTGGAACCTTCCACTCAGGACTCCTAAACTTGGAGTATAGGCACAGTGGCTCACACCTGTAATCCTAGCATTTTGGGAGGCTAAGGCAGGCAGCTCACCTGAGGCCAGGTCAGGCTGGCCAACATGGTGAAACCCCATCTCTACTAAAAATACAAATGTTAGCCAGGCATGGTGACGGGCGCCTGTAATCCCAGCTATTCAGGAGGCCAAGGTAGGAGAATTGCTTGAACCCAGGAGGCGGAGGTTGCAGTGAACTGAGATCGTGCGCCACTGCACTCCAGCCTGGGTGATGGAGTGAGACTTTGTTGCAATTAAAATTAAAAAAATATATATATATGCAATAAAATTCATAAAAAGGTAACATATTTTACACCAATTTCAAACCAATACCCTATAACTACTATTGTCTATTGGTGGATTCATTGACTTAACTATGTAAATATTAGGAAGCCAAAGATTAATTACATACTTGTCCTACCATGAAGGAATTAAAAGTCTAATCAGGAATAAGGACATATAAATACAAATAGAGCAATGGTGGCAGCAGTAACCCCCACCACGATTATAGCCCAGTGTAAGAAGGGCTCTAATAGAGGCATATATCGGAGTTGTACAGAAGCATAAAGAAGAAATCAAGTCCGTCTGGCTGCAAGGGAGAGGAAGGAGGCAGAGAAACCTCCAGGAGAGCACTGGACATTGGGTAGGAATTTACTACACAGTCAAAACAAGAAAGTCATTTAGGAAGAGGAATACTAGAAGCAGGCAGCCACGAAAATGTAGCACATTTAAGAAAATATGAGTAGTTTTCCCAGCAGTCAGCACAGTGCTTTTACATGGAAGGTATTCAAATGTTAGGTTGACACAGGACCCAGTGAATAGATGCATTAATACAGCTAAGCTTTAGGCAATTTTTTGGTAATAGTGTAAGTCAATAATTTACCACATGATTTGTTAGTCTATGAGGTTGAATCAGTCTAATTCACTTACCAGCTTAGTTTTTGAGACAATTCATAACTCATTTGTTTTCAGTTGTCTAAGGAATCTATTAATAACACTCTTACTTATGAATGTTTTATTGCCAATTAAAATATAAGTCTATAATCTTAAGTTTAAAACATACCTCTCTTGAAATTAATAGAAAATAGTTAAAATACCATAAATATTAGATTATTTGGCACAATCATTGTAAAAGCTGAGTAATTATGAATTTAATAAGTATCATGATATTATATTAAGAGGTAATTAACACTGAAAAACAAAGTAATTAGTTTTGGAGAGACTAATGAGAAATAAGATTAGATAAAGTTTTTAATATTTCTTTGACAAATTTGGATAGAAATAAACATGGGAAATGCCTAAACAATTTTTAAATGCTCTCAATGGTTTATCCTTTGTTTTGTTTATAAAAGTCTTTTAAAATTAAACACACATAAATTTTATAAACAAAATTAAAATATGGCTTACATTTTTTTCTAATGTGTCTTAAATGAATAATCAGTTGACTCACTGAATATTTTTATATAGCCAGTTCTTGTAGCACTTCAACTCTGTGTAAACTGCTAAAGTAAACTTTTAAATTCATTAGATTGATCCTTAAATTTAAGCCCAATTACTAAAGTATTTATAGTTTCTTATTTTTCTACTATCGGATTATTGCTACACTTTAGTGAGCATGTATGTGTCCCTATTTTGTTTATAATTTAACATTGGTCTTCTATTTCCAGAATCAAGAAGATCCAATGATGTCTCGTGAGTAAACATAGTATAATATGCGACAAAATAGTTACTCAACATATTCAAGTGCATTTATGTGGTCATCATAATGCAATGAGGTAAACCTTGTCAAACTTTCCACCTATTATCCTCGTATCTGAATTTTCACACTTCCCCTTACAATTGAAGTCTTTCTTTCAGTTTAAGACACACTCTTTCTCATCACTTTACTTCTTCAATTTCTTAATGTTTTTAATTAGATTTTAAATCCCATCCCTTCTTATGTTTTTGCAAATATGCAACTTCAGGCATCAACTGGATTTCAGTGGCAGTCTGCTCTAATGAGACTTGCACTGTTTCATGATGTGGCTTGTGGACTTGGAGGTTGCTCTAATTCACAGGATTGAAAAGAAGTGTTGAGCTCTCTCTCTCTCTCTGCTTCAATAGTAGCTACGGTTTATGGGCATATGTGATTTTATTTGCTCTATAATACTTATGAGCAAACACACTTCCCTACTGATAAAATTCATTTTTCTTTACTACTATGACTTTGTATCTTCCTTACCCTAGTCTTATTTTTCAATACATCTGCCCTTGTTATGCCAAGGGTACTTCTTTTATGTGGTATTTTCAACATACTGATTGAACACTCTCCTGCTTGAGTGAGATTAAAGGTATCACCAAATAATATTTTCATCTTGATAATGGGGCCTTAGGAGCAGTGGCAGCATAGGGTGGGAGTGCATCGACTTTCAGGCCACCTTGCCTGCTACAGAAACTCACCTGCAGAAGTTGCAATAGAAATTACAGTTGTCAAATACCACTGTTCTACTTTTCTCCTATTTTACACTTTACAACAGTTCACACCATGTCTCCTGCCTCTACATCTTTGCTCTTTGGAATGCCTTTCCCACCTTTCTTGGTTTGGCCACCTCTTATTCATCTTTCTTAAACAGCTCCAGTTTGGCCTAAGTGGGTCTTTTTTTATTTTACTTTATTTTATTTTTATTTATTTATTTTTTTTGAGACGGAGTCTCGCTCTGTCGCCCAGGCTGGAGTGCAGTGGCCGAATCTCAGCTCACTGCAAGCTCCGCCTCCCAGGTTTACGCCATTCTCCTGCCTCAGCCTCCCTAGTAGCTGGGACTACACGCGCCCACCACCTCGCCCGGCTAGTTTTTTGTATTTTTTAGTAGAGACGGGGTTTCACCGTGTTAGCCAGGATGGTCTCGATCTTTTCTTTTACTCTCTACAACTATGTTTCTTAACCTTTACCAACGATCTATTTTTATCTGTCTCACAAGACAGTAAGCTGGTTGAGAGTAAGATATAGGTCTCCTGTCTTCCATGATTATTTTAGGACTTGATACCTAGTAGATGCTCAATAAATGTTTGAAAATAATTTGTTTGCTTAGTTTAACTATCTTTATTTCACTTTATTTGTCTACAGCACTTGACATTGACCACTATGCCTTTTGTTTTAGCAAGAGTCTTTCTCCTGTGGCCTCTTGAACACTCATCTTTGTTTATCCCATTTCTATCTGCCTAAAAACACCTCTGTGATTTCTTAACATCCATCTAATGATCCTCTTTATTTTCTCTCTTTTCCCCTTACTCTCCTCCTTTTCTCCCCTTTGGCCCACTTTCCTTCCCTTCCTCTTTACCTTCCTCTCACAGTAAGTTTTATTCACTGAGCACTTCAACTTTATCTTGTAGGATGTTTGACTCCTTGTCTTTACATCTGCAAATTGAGTTCTGTGTTTCCTTCTCATTGCAAGACATTCTCACACGCAGAGTCCTCAAGATCAGCAAGACTAAAATGACTCGTTAAAACATCTGTAGCAGTTTTTTAGCTGGGCGCTATTGAATAATAGAATCTCTGTCCATTCACACGCTCAATTTACGTATCTAAGATTCATCTTTGGATGGGGGAATTTAAGACAAGCATACCAGTCGAGTTGACTCTGTCTCACAGATGTCACTCAAACTCATTTACTCAATTTCTATGGCCTCTACCTTAGTTCAGGCTTCCACTTGCTTTTGCCCAGATTATGGTAGCAGCTGCTACCTAATCTCTCTGCCTCTAGAATCCTGTTCCATCCCACCTTCTCAGATGAAAACTAGAATCGTCTCTGCTAAGGAATGTTTGATCAATATTTTATGTTCTTTTTAATTAAAGTTATCTGATATCTACTCTGGTGCTATTACCACACTCAACTATTGAAAATTCCTTAGAATTGTGACATAACCTCATGTCACTGTATCTTAGCTCTATCTGCAATATCCTTCCAATATACATGTAAAATATATGTAAACAGTGCCTAGCCCACAGTATTCATTCAGACAGTGTTTAGGATGATGAATGGTAATAATAATCATATATTTCCCGCAACTATCTCTGACTTCCTAAAGAAGTAATTGCCATTCCTCTACATTTCTATAGTGTTTTTAAATAACTGTGTTATAGTTGTGAAAGGAAAATAAAAACTGGGGACCACAATTCATTCTGCAAAAAGGAAAAAAAATAAGCTGAAAGCTGAAACATGCAAGAAGCTGCCTTTTATTTTATTCCTAAGCAGATAGCTACAGATGAAAGGTTAAATATCTTCACAGGTAGCTACTCTATGTTCACCTTATCTTATGTAAAGTGCTGATTAAGGAGTGAAAGAAAACATAACTCTACCTTCCCTTTTTCTCTTGCAACATGTGGATTCAGTAATGTGACCACACCCTCCCTTTTTCCCTTTAAATATTAAAGACTTCAAAGTCATCTTTGGAGAAGGGCACAGACCACAGGCTTTTTCTGTGATTCCATTTTTGTTTTTGTTTTTTCTCCCAGGCATTGTCTTTAACCTTGGCAAAATAAACATCTAAATTGATTAAGACCCGATGCAGACACTTTTTGGTTTACATAGCAGTTACTGCATTATTTTACATTCAATTGTTTTATTTCTTACTTAAATTGTAATATTTCTAGAGAGTTGTTAAATTGTTGGGGATTTTCTGTCTTTTCTGAGCTTGAAGAAATACTTATTAATAAATACTTAAATAATTAATAAATGAATCGGTTAACTAACTCAATTTTATAAACAAACAAACAAGAAAGCAGCTTTAAATTTGTAGTTTCTTCCCAAGGTTGAACAAAAATAGTTGAGTGAAGAACTAAATTGAAGCTCTAAATCTAAGGCTAATATTCAATGTTTAAGCTATTAATAAGTGTATTATGGTAATCTCCTCAGAAAACAATACAATGTATGATTCCTAGTAGCCATTTAAAAATTATGAAGGTGGATTATTTTCAGGTTTATACCTTTCATCACATTTCAGTTTTATACCTTATATACCTTTCATAATTTATTTGTACAACCTAAACCAGGTTAGTGAGGACCATAGCAAACATTTGTGTTATACACACAATGTGCCAGGTAGTTCTAAGTGTTTCACCTACATGAATTCATTTACCCCCACATTTCCTGAAATTGTTATTATCTTCTGGCTTCTACAGTTGCCTTGGAGAAGACTGTTCTCAGTTTACGTTGTCTTTCTATCGTAGATAATCTGGCATATCTGTCTTGTTTTCTAGATCTTCTCTTTGTCTTTGGTGTTCTGCATTTCACCATAATGTGATTAGATACAGGTTTATTTGTATTATGTTAGGGATGTTATAATAGCTAAAAGGAAGAATTTACATGTTTCATTAAATCTCTATGTTTTGATCATCACGTCTTTGGGTGTTAGCCTCCCTGAATTATTTTTTTTTCTCTGAAATTTCTTTTGGATATAAATTGAACCTTCTTTTTTTTTCTCATTCCTCTTACTATATTTCCTAACATTTTATTCTTTATGCTGAATTCTAATTATATAACATCAGTGTTTTGATTCACCATTTCTCTCATCAAATGTGTATATGTTGATGTTCAGTCTGTTCACTAGGTTTTTAGTTTCAGTTTTTATATTTTTAATTTTTAGAGGTTCCATTGTGTCCTTTAAAATTGACTTTTATCATTGTGTTTTTCTCACGTTTTCAACACATTCTTTCAGATTATTAATATAAAACATACTTACTTTATTTTCTAGCTCAACAGTTCATAAACAGTGGTGGCTCTTCTCCTCAGAGGCTGTTTAGAACTGTGCAGGGGCACTTTTGATTGTCCCAGGATCTGGGGGTGAGGGTGGGGTGGGTTGTTATTGGCCTTTAGTGCCAGAGTAGAGCAGGAACACTAAACACTCTGCAACACACAAGTTAATCCTGCACAACAAAATAAATTCTCCTGCTCCAAATGGAAAGAGTGTTATTAAGAAAAACAGATTTAGTCAGAAATTATAGTTCTTTTATCTGTAGGTCCTCTTGGGTCTCTTAACCCTTGGACATGGTGAGTCTTTTCTTTATTTTGACATTTTAATTGTGAGCTCATCTTCAAAAATTGACGCTGTCTCTCCAGACTGATTTCATCTTTATTTATGTTAGGTGTCCCAGGAGTATTAATAGATTAGGACCATATTTTATATTAATTTGTAAGCCCATGTCACACATGGATCACATGGATTTGAATACAACCCTGTGTGATGGTGGGAAGGTCTGTGGCTATGAGATCTTAAGGGAGAGGTTTTTGTTACCCGCTCAGAACAGAAACAAGGATATTTCCTATTTCTCCACATCCTCTCCAGCACCTGTTGTTTCCTGACTTTTTAATGATTGCCATTCTAACTGGTGTGAGATGGTATCTCATTGTGGTTTTGATTTGCAGCACACCAACATGGCACAAGTATGCATATGTAACAAACACGTTATGCACATGGACCCTAGAAATTAAAGTATAATAATAATAATAATAATAATAAAAAGAAACAAGGATATTTCAATGTCCTTTCTCTTGGGTAGGAAAAATTTTGACTGGCCCATCTTTTTACTGATGGTAGCCTTTTGAGGGTCCTGATTTTATGTCTGCAGATATCAATTACAACTTACCACCCTGAATGGAACAGAGACCCTATCTGTGCTATTCATATGGGCATGAAGCCCACCCTCCTCAATTATCAAGACTGGCAATCCCTCTCTGCCCCCAAGGGCAGCCACAGTAAACCGTTGTTATAACCCTGAGTTTCAGATGTTCCCTATGTTTTTTACTCCAAATTCAGCAAAGTATTAAGAAAGGAAGATGGTGATATTTTATCCAGTACTTTAAGTTTTTGTTTTCAGTTTTTCCAAAAGGTAACGTCAGGTTAACTAGTTTTCCATATTGCCCTGTTCTCCACATTCTGAAACATGATCTTTTTCTGTTCTTACATTAGAGCAAAACACACACACACACACACACACGCACACACAGAAATGCCGCATATAGTAGTTACGGCATATGCTAGCCATTTCAACATTAAATATTTAAACTTTAATAAAGCTTTGAAGTTCAGATGACATAGCCTAAAGTTGGCTTCATTTACAACAACACTTAATATTTATGGCCATTTTTAATCTAATGGTTAAAACTGTGTTACAGTAGATTTCTCAGAGCTTGATAGTAGTACAGCTAATTGAAGTTACAGAGCTAATGCACTGACCCATTCACAAGATGATTACCCAAGATTTATGGCTGTCCACAGAGCAGCAAAAACATGCTGATTTACTTAAGAAATTTCTAACACATGGAAATGCGAAATGGTTCAATAGGAAACCATTACTGCTGTCTTCATTTCTTGCCTCTTTGCATGGTAATACACAAAACTGATCAATGCACATTTCCTCATCTACTTTTAAAAAATAACAGCTTTTCAAATTCTTGTTAACAATGCACTCTCCTTTGCCTTTTCAATTTCTGAATATGCCAAAGAACCATAGAATTTCAGAGGCAAACTGTTATTTATTTTCCAAGTTTGATTTTTTAATTGTCCTACACAGAACAGTCACATTCAAGAGAGAGGAAAATAAGCAGAAATTGTGGTTTAATTCATTGAGTCTAACATAAGCAGAAGTTACAAGGAGAGAACATCAAGCTGCAAATTAGGACACAGTTTTGGTAATGAATTGTAAACCCACAGTTGAAATGTAAAGCCATTCCTTGATTGTCAAATAAGTTCCACTTTCTCATAAAGTGCTGATAAATATAAGTGCCACAGCATGTGTGAAATTCTGTGGATCATTACAGAAAAAGTGACTAAATGATGACACTTTTAGTTGTTGCTGACTATTAAACATATTAACAATGCAAAGTGTACAACAGGCTCTTCCATAGCCATGGTTTTGCTTTCCAAGGTTTCGGTTACCTGTAGTCAACCAGGATCAGAAAATAGGTGACTATAGTACAATAAGAATAAAACAGGTGAAAATTGATGACTACAGTACAATAAGAATAAAATAGGTGAAAAACAGTGAATAAAGTAAAATAAGATGTTTTGAGAGAGCCCACATTCACATAGCCTTCATTATAATATATTGGTCTAATTGTTATATTTTATTCTTAGTTGCTGTTGCTGATCTCTTACTATGCCTAATTTACAAATTAAATTTTATCACAGGTATGCATGTATAGGAAAACACATAGTATATATGGGGTTCGAGACTATCTGAGGATTCAGGCATCCACTGAGGGGCTTGACACATAACTTCCACTAATAAGGGGGAACTACTGTATATAAGTCGTGTAAGTATATCTTTATTTATTTATTTATTTATTTATTTATTTATTTATTTAAGACAGAGTCTTGCTGTGTCCCCCAGGCTAGAATACAGTGGCAAGATCTCGGCTCACTGTAACCCCCACCTCTCACGTTCAAGGGATTCTTGTGCCTCAGCTTCCCAAGTAGCCGGGATTACAGGTGTGTGCCTCCATGCTTGGCTAATTTTTTTTTTTTTTGTCTTTTTTAGTAGACAGTGAGTTTCACTGTGTTCACCAACTGGTCTCAAACTCCTGACCTCAGGTGATCTGCCTGCTTCAGCCTCCCAAAGTGCTGGGGTTACCACCGTGAGCCACTGCACCCACCAGATTAAGATGATTGGTAGATAGATAGATAGATAGATAGATAGATAGATAAGCAGACTATATATACATATATACATATACATATTTAAATAAGTTTAAAATAAACTTATTTATTTTATAAATGTAAATAAGTTTAAATAAATGTTTATATATGTTTATATATATATGACTTAATCCGATAACATATACTTACACAAATACATATTTGCCACATAATAACCATATTAATGGAGATTAGTAATGTAAGGTGATCTCATAAGAAGAAATCGAGTTGGTGCTGCTGAAGAACCAGGGGTTTCTGGGTTCCTATCCTGGTCCAGGGGCCGATAGTACAAGAAACACAAAAGATTCACAGAAGCTGAGAGAATGGCAGCATCTCCCCCTGGCATGGCACAGGCAGTTCTATGACCTGTTGAATACAAAGGTGACTCCAAGGACCCAACTTAACTCCCTGAATGTCTAATCAGCATCGGCCAACGCAAGCAAAAATCTAGTGATGGAAATGCAGTTCTTTTATTTCTTTAAAGTAAAGACCAAAATTGTGTTGCTAAATAAAGCCAAGGAAACCTGTTTTCCATTGCTATATACGTTAAGAATTCTCTGGTTGCTGCCTTTGTAATGAAGTTGGCTTTCATATCAATTACCAATGCTTGGGCTATCAGGCTCAAATATAATTAAAGTTAAAATCAAACTTTGATCCTCCAGCATTTAGTGCAGTTTCCAAGACCTGAATTTCAGGCATTAGTGTGAAACTGAAGTGTAGTGTTAATTACTTGTATATTTCATGGTTAAAAGGGATCAGTGTTGAGTTCCACTTTAATCACTGAGGGCCTATTTGACACTCAGATAAAAGAGAGTTGAGAATTTCCCATGGTGAATTTAAAACTGATTTTATAACCCCACCTGTTTGAATACTTAGTCCACAAGTACTTTCTACTTGGTTGGGTTTTGTGGTCTACTCTCAGTGTCAATTTTCATAAAGAATTGCATGTTGTAATGTTTCAGTTGCTCCAGTTTTTATTGACATCCGCTGAAATAAAAATGATTCCTTTGTTGCAATATCACAAAACTCAAGAATTATAACTATAATTTTTGTAAAATTTGTGTTTTGAATAATAGTGAGTTCTATGTGGAAGAATTATATAAAACATGCATGCAATTCTGTAAAGCAGTCCTTAGGGTAGAATTTCAGATCTGTTTGACTGGGATATGGAAAGAAAATGCACTGACCCATCACCAAGCAAAGGACATAGCAAATGTGTGTGTGTGTGCACACTCCTGTTGTATGTACGTATATGTCATCGTGTGAAAATAAGCTGTTTATTTTTGAAATAATAATCCAAGGCAATATGGGGCCATTTCAATTAGATGCACTTATGGCTCTAAATTAGATTGATTAGGGGCATTACTGCAAAGAAGGAGGAATACTTTTGCATCGGTGAGTGTATCTAACCAAAGAACTGTCAGAGAAGGTAGTGACCATCTCGAGTGAATAATTAATTAGATTTAATTCAGAAACATGCACTTTAAAAAGATAGCAACTCTGCATTATTAATATTATAAATATACTCTACAAGCTATATGATCCATTTTATTTTAATCTTATTTTTATGTGTTTGGTAAAGAAATAAGTCAACTTCTAACTGATTAATAATAAGGCTCCAGAATCTTTCACCATTATCAATTTGTTCAATTTGCCATGCAGCTTACTCTTTTCTGCCTAATCACAGGGACCTTCTATTAACAGAAAGCTGCAAATCCTGAGTGCCAACCTGAATTTATTACGCTACAATTTTAAACATTGCTTCATGGTCATAAAATTGACATTTAAGTATTACTCTTAGGCATCTTCAGTTGCTTATATTTATCATTATCATTAGACTTTCCAGTTATTTAGACCTTAATAATTTTGCAAAAAAGAATTTTAAAAACTACATAAATATATATATTCTCTCTTCCATATTTGAGGGACTGACAACATTTGGATAAATTCTTAATATGATTCACAATTCCCTGGACCCTACTGGTCCAATCCTCGTAGTACCACTCTTCTTCGTATATAATAAGTGTTCAGTAAATATCAGTGAATGACTGATTGACTGCAAGGTATATTAAAAAGAGAATAGTGTCAAATAGACCTAGTCTTACATATTTTAGCTATATGACTTCAGGCCAATTATTTAACCTCTCTGGGCTTCCAATCCACCCTCTATTAATAATACTTACCTGACAGCACTGCTGTGAAAATAAAATAAGACAACATAAATAAAGCAAATAGAGCATTGCTCAGATATAGTAAGGGTTCAATAAATATTAATTTCTTTCATCAGATAGTTTTGCAGTGTTGCACATGCTGATAAGTGAGCAGCTGCATCTCAGTCAGAATGGTATTTCTAGAACAGTTTAGCCTCACCTCATTAATAAATATGTGTTATAAAAATAACTATTGTGTGTAACATCACAATAAAAATAGTAGGTTGGTATGTAATGAAAAAATGCATTGAACCATCACTAATATGACTTGCTTGATACAAAATTGAAATGAAAAAAAAGAATGTCTTAGACTTGGATTGTTAGTAATTTTTGCATAAATATTTTGTCTAAAATAGGGTGACAGCAATTGGTTACAAACAACAGAACTGATATAAGCTGGCTAAAACAAACAAAAAAGACTATGATTACAACACTCTTTTAGGAAACATGTGAGCCACTAGAGGCCCTGGATCTTTTAGGAAACAAGCCATTCAAGCCTCCTCTTAGTCTCCTTCAGCCTCCTCTCCCCTCTATATTCCTTCTCATACTTCACATCCTAGCTTTTCCCCTTTGACTAACTCATTCCTTAGGCATGCCTGCTCCAGTCCCAACTGTCTATAACTTCCATTTTCATATATCCAACAGTGGTTGACTAGAAAGGCTGTCAATTACAGATTTTGCAGGGAGCAATTTTCCTGGTTCACTAGACACAAACAGGGCTCCCTCTGCAGCATCTGATCATTCAGGCTCCTAAAAGGATGGCTCTCAGAAAGTTGAAAAGCATAGATTCAAATCAAAGCCGAGGCGGAACATGGCAGACACGTTTAAAAGTTATACCTTGAGTCAGTCTAAAGACAATGATTGTATTGAAACCATAGAGTCTGTATTCTAGATACTATTCTAGAGTATCTAGTGTCTAGTGGTCATTGAATTTTCTCAGTTATGCTGTGAGGAAACTCGTGTTTGAAACCTTTGTTTCAGATGATGGAATGGAAGCAATGAAAGATTAAGCAATGTCCCAAGACCACACAGTTGGGAAGTGGCAGGGCTGGACTCTAACGCTAGTCGTCTAGTTGCAGATCCATGCTTTGAACACCATGCTATTCTGCACCTCCATGAAATGGCTTTTACCTCTCAAACAATTTTGATTTTAGTGCTCTGGTCACTACCATAAAACACAAGTTTCTAGGATTTTCTGGCTTAGAAGGAATGCAAGGACAGAACTGTGTTTTCCTGACAGCCCAGATCCCTGTGAGTAACAACTACTAACTCAAAGACAGCTAGTTGGAGTCAAAGAATAATTGCCTGTTCCATGGGTTATCAACAGAAATGAAGTCCAATCTGTGCATTGCCAATGGTTAGCTGTGAAAATGTAAAAGGAATTAATCCTTTTACTCATTCATTCACCAATAAATTTACCTTTAAGAAGGTCATTTTCTCTATGAATCATACATGGAAGAAGCTAGTTTTTTTCCCTGCAAAGCTGTAATACAGCCCACAGATTTCCACTCTTCAGAAAGGTGAAAGGAACGTTACCTATCAATCTCATCAAAATTATGAGTCAATTACCTAATATTAGCATGAGAATGCAGAGGTATCATGCTGTTGGACATAATTTGTCTAGCCAAGGTTTATCTAGTAATGAAGACAAAGTCCTGGTGTGAAGCATGTAGTTCTCTTGCCTACTTTATTCAAAATGTATTTATCCCTGATACGACTTAAAATAGTACTTTTAAATAAGAAAAGACCTTCAGAATATAGCAAACATCAAATCAATTTTAGCATAAAGTTAAAATATAATTTTCAGTGTTTCAGATAATTAAATTGATAGGATATTATTAGAGTAAGTCTACTGTGTAAAACAAAGGGGATGTTTATATCTGCTAATGGATTCTCCATAAGTCATGTGTAACACAATTCAAAATGTATTTGAGCAATCTTTGAGAGGTATATAACAAAACTCCCATCTAACAGATGTGCCTGTGACAGTAAAAGAAAAATAAATGTCCAAATATTCATGGGCATGTTTGCCCGTCTTCCAAACCCACTGTGCAATTGCTGTATGCTAGAAAATCAAGCACCTGCAAAGTGGAATAATTGATTGACTGTGACTAAGGGCTGTGCCAAAGTTTCTGAAGCCTTCTTGAGGCTCCATAACAAAACACATATAACAATGGTTGGTCACAAAGCTAACGATGACAATTAAATTTCATGAACTAACTGAGATTTGCAACCTTCTGGTTTCAATTTTACAGTTCAGTTCTGCCAGATGGAGTAGGGAGAAAATAACATACATAATTAAAATCAATAAAGTTACACCAACCCCAAACACCAAAAAATAAAATAAAAGGAAGAAAGCAAGAAAAAAGTATACCAATCATATGTTTTCCCACATCTGTAAG